TCGCTACCGGGACCAGAGAGGCAACCCCTCCTTCGCATCAAAGGGGCAATGAAAGGCGATTTAAATGAGCACAGGCTTTTTTTTTTTTTAATGAGATATTGAGGAAGTGCTGCGTAGTAGAAAAATATGCCTCCCCCATCACAACGGACAAGAGCAGGTGCTGAGCAAATCACCAAGAAAAGGCCGGGGAGCAGACAAGGTGCAGGGATGGGGGAGTAGATGAAAAGGCAGTGGTTAGAGTGCTTTTTACGGAGGATCTGGCATTACAGGTCACGGGAAGCTGATTCCAGGTTGAAAGAACCGCGATTGTGAAAATATACAGGCTTTACTCTCTTACACAACCAGGTCACCGAAGGTTGTATTAAGACACTTGGAAATGGACTCCTATTTACAAACCCACCGAAAACATTTCAGTAAAGTGCCCTTCAGTGTATTCATTACACACTGATTGAGTAGGCATTCCTTTTTTTTTTCTTCCCTTGAGAGAGGGTGAGAGCGAGTGAGTGAGCAGGGGAGAGGGGCAGAGAGAGAGAGAGAGAGATAGAGAATCTTAAGCAGGCTCCACACTCAGTGCGGAGCTGATGCAGGACTCGATCCCACAACCCTGAGATCATGACCTGAGCCAAAATCAACAGTTGGATATTCAACTGACCGATCCACCCAGGTGCCCCGAGTAGGCATTTTTTTAGAGGGTCACATAAGCTTAAGAACATGGGGTATAAACCAGCGTAAAAAGCTTCTCTATTGCAGTGTTCTCAGAACCTTTAATATTTGACTGAAAATAGTCATTCTCCAAAAGACTACAGAATGTTACTTCCAAAATTTGACTATAGGATTCTTTTTCCCCAAAACATTCCCATGGCAAACCCTGCCTCCCTACTTAGGGAAGCAAGGCCAAGTGGTGGTTTAGAGACGCAAGTTCTAGGGGCGCCTGGGTGGCTCAGTCGGTTGAGCATTTGACTTCGGCTTAGGTCATGATCTCGTGTTCCGTGAGTTCGAGCCCCGCGTCGGGCTCTGTGCTGACAGCTCAGAGCCTGGAGCCTGCTTCGGATTCTGTGTCTCCCTCTCTCTCTGCCCTTCCCCTGCTCATGCTCTGTCTCTCTCTCTCTGTCAAAAATAAACATTAAAAAAAAAATTAAAGACACAAGTTCTAGAATCAAGCTGCATGGATTCCAATTCTAACTCCACCACCCACCATGGAGTCCCTCTATGCCTTTTTTTCCACCCTCAAAATAGGCATATAGTACCTCCTTCACAAGGAATAGAGTACCTCCACGAAGTAATACACATATACCCCCTAAAATAATTGGTAGGAGTGGCTACCCCTTCATGTCTCTCCTGGCGGCTCCTCATGTCCACAGGCTTCCAACTCTGGGCCAGCAGTTCAGGGAAAATGCTATTCACAGAAACACTCCAACCAGGCCCAACTGCTGCCCAATTCCCTTTAGAAACTATGTTCCTTTGGGGGTCTCTGGGGGACACAGAGGAGTGCTTTAAGTTACTTTACTAGCTTAGATGGAAAATAATGACGTTCACAAATAACCTCTTTTGGATAAACTAGAAAGGCTTTCAGCATTTGCAAAACAGGACAAATAGAGAACCCTAACAAAGTCCACAAATCACAGGCATTGCTTTCCCCAACTGTAAGGCTTACAAATATAATTCTAGCTTTAAAATCATTTCTCTGTGAATGCACAGAACTCAAAATGTAGAAGGTAGATTAACTGACAAATACCTTCAGCATCTATATTGGGACTTCATTGTGTGTGTGTGTGTGTGTGTGAGAGAGAGAGAGAGAGAGAGAGAGAGAGGTTGCAGTTCTCTCTGAGGTAGCCTGGAACAGGTAAGCAGGCAACCCCTTCCTAATAGTTTTATAGGATTCTTCCATTTCCTTTCATCCTGAGTTGTCTCCCTCATTCACTGTCTCTATGTCACCCTTTTTCAACTTTTCTCCTTAGTCACTCCTGAATTTATAATTTTCCATAGCAGTAGGAGAAAATTTTTTCTCGGGCGCCTGTGGGCCATGGTGTACTCATCTTGAGGCATTATTTCTGTTTAACCGATAGAAGCCTGAGGCCGGAGACAGGGGCAGGCAGCCCTGGGCCGTCACATCCGGAACGCAGGCCCCATGGCACGCTAACGACATCGAGGACTTCGTTGGCCAACCTTGGTTTACCAAGGCAGTGCTAGTTTACACGCATCACTCTGGCATAATTATGGATGGCATCCCTTCCACTCTCAACCGCATCCTGGGTTGGAGTTTGATTTATATGGTCATCCCATCTGCGATTCCAGACAAGGATTCTTTACTCCTCTGGACTTCAGTTTCCAGAATTTGAAAAAGGATACAGGATGAGGTATTTAGGAGGTTCTTTTTGTAATGTTTATGTGCTTTCCATTTCAAAGTTTTAAAACTGAATTCTCAAGTCATCTGATCAAGAAAATTCGAAGATCTTTCAACTTCGGGGCGCCTGGGTGGATCAGTCATTAAGTAGCCAACTTCGGCTCGGGTCATGATCTCACGACTCATGGGTTTGAGCCCTGCGTCGGGCTCTGTGCTGACAGCTCAGGGCCTGGAGCCTGTTTCAGATTCTGTGTCTCCCTCTCTACCCCTCCCACTCTTGCTGTCTTTCTCAAAAATAAACATTTTTTTTTTTTAAATCTTTCAACTTCTATCCACCTTCCTCCCTTCTATAAATGAATGTATACCCCAATCAGTTTAGATCCCACCTAACTAGATCAACATAACCGACATTTAAGGGTCAATAAGAGTATCCTAGGGGACACCTGGGTGGCTCAGTCAGTTAAGCATCTGACTCTTGATTTCAGCTCAGGTCATGATCTCACAGTGGTGAGATCAAGCCCCGCGTTGGGCTCAGCATGGAATGTAGAGCCTGCTTAGGATTCTCTCTCTCCTCTCCCTGCTCCTCCCCCACTCATGCTTGCACTCTCTCTCTCAAAATCAACAAACACTGAAAAAAATAAAAATTAAAAAATGAGTATCTGGAGCCATCTGGGTGGCTCAGTTGAATGTCCGACTCCTCGTTTCTGCTCAGGTCATGATCCCAGGGTTGTGGGATCAAATCTCATATCAGGCTCCGCGCTGAGTGTGGAGCCTGCTTGGGATGCTCTCTCTACTCCCCCATCTCCTGCTTTCCCCCCAACCCCTCCGTCTCTAAAATTTAAAAAAAAAAAAAGAAAGAAAGAAAAAGAAGAGTATCCCAGTCACTAGAAGAAATGAACAAACCCGGAATTGGCACAAATTTTGTATACGGCGTTGTACTTAATTCATCTCCTTACCCCTTCCTGGCTTTAGATATAACACATCAGTGGTGCCAACCCTGAATACTCCCCACCAGGAGAGAAATTTGTTGGTATGAAACACAACTAAAAAACCACGTTCACGGAGGCCTAGACTTCCCCACCCTAAGCAGAAAGGGGCCAGGAGAGAGGTCTGGACACAGGTATGAAATTCCTGCATCAGGACAGAGCTTGAAATCCGAAAACATATGGCATGTCAACCATACGTGGCAGCAAAAGAAATGGGTAAAATGAGACAACCCAACGCTCCATCACCCCACCCTCTTCGTGGCTGAGGCAAAATAAAAAACAGGTTTTGGAGTAAATACATTTATTGATACCCATTTTATATACTTCAGTGAAATAATCTATAAATATAAAAGCGTTTTCTTTTGGATATCACCATGGTCCATGTAAATACTCAACAGTCAGAATCATCTGCAGGAAGCACTTCAAGTCACACTGTTAGGTTTACAGACCTGAATATACATATTTCATTAAACAGTGGCACTTATGTACTCAAGTGGTCCAGTGGCTTTGGATACAGGACTACTGGGCATGTCGAGTAAAAATAATGTGTAACTTTAAATCAACGGACAGGGTATCAACCATCAACAAAAAGAAACAATTACGAATTAATATCCTAAGTGAAGAAAGTACCACAGTTGACACTTGGTGTCAGAATACTGGAGACAAAGTATGTTTAATGACACATGTTGTGGCGCCATGTGCTCTCTCCGACTCCCAGTGGACGGCCCACCAGTGCCTTAGGGTCATTCATGGTTAACAAAACAGCAATTCTTAAAGAATCTAAACAGCTTAGAACAAAAGGTGTGTAGCGGCTGGTACCAAGTTTAAAGAAAAGTGAGCTAAGTATTTCAACGACATGATGAAATTTCTCCCCTGGGAGGAGGAGCTTGTGGGGAAAACAAATTTGTTCAATTCCCATTGTTACACCGACCATGATCACTTATCTAATGGAGGAGAAAGAACCCAGGTATCTAGTACCCAAAACACAGGTGCAGATCTGTCTTCTGTCTTAAAGTTTCTTCCTCAACACTCCCCAGAGAACTAATGCAGCAGCCACTGTGGAGCCTTGCTCTAGACCTGATGCAGCATAAAACCTTCTCATTTCTTCGGTAACAAGTACAGGAATGTCCTTTGCTGCGGTCAGACCATGTGTCTTCTGAGTTAGCAAGCAAATGCATTTAAAAGGTCTTAGGTGTGCAACGTCCAAACTTGAAATCTGAGAGGCAGTGTTAGAACTTAAGCAAGGCAGGATTTTTAGAGACTACTCAAATGAAAACCTAAGTGAAGCATATAAAAATTCAGTTCTTTCTATTATTTCCAACTGGTAATTGACAGCAACATTCTCCGGTAAGGATGGGTAAGTGGTGTTATCTCCAGGTCCAAAATATCCCAACTACTTAACACAGGACCCCAAAGAGGAGAATGACACACTTGAGTTCTGGGGTCTTTAGAATTCTTTCTTGCCATTTTTAAAAAAAAGAAATAGTAGCTTCAGCTGCACACCACTGGTTGAAGGGGTTTTCATCCAAATGAGAAACTCGACCCCTCGTCTCTAGTGGGACAGGCACCAGGATTCCCACAAGCGGCAACTCCCATGTCCTGTAGCACGTGGCATCTGACCCTGGAGTGAAGAGTAAGCTGGCACAGAGCCCCGACAGCTGGAATTCAGGCTAGATGGCATTTCGCGGCGTGCCATTGTGTGCCAATGCTTTCAGGCTGGGGGCACTGGTCTGGTGACCACAGCTCCTGTGAGAAGTCACACCCACCTCAAAAACCTCATGAATAGCTTTTCGGAAACAGTGGAAGTTGTAGTCTATTAAACCTGCAAGAGAGAAAAAGAAGATCAGGCCCCCTGAACGTCAATGGTGAAATTATCCATTAGGAAATATTTAGCGACAAAAGAAAATAATTGTTATGTAAAAAAAAAAAAAAAAAAAAAAAAAAAAAGGCATGGGAATTTTATGAGGAATTTTCTATGCTAAATCATGTGCCCAAACTGTTAACACTCGTTACCTCTGGGGCCTGGGAATAAAGCAGGTCAATAAATAAAACAACCAGGAAGGTAAATGTGCTAAGAAAGCTTACAATAAAATCTAAAGTGAAAGTAACACATTTTTCAAATTATCAGGCTTTGCCTTTTACAAGTCTCTCGGGTGGCCAACGAAAGGCTGAAGGGGACGGCTCAGCGCGGCAACCCGGCACCCTGCTCGGGAGAGGCCTGGGGTCTGGGAGGCACCAGAGAGGCCCGTCGGGCAGAGCCTCAGGCAGCCTCCACCCGCTCCTCAGCAAGGCAGCGCCTTCTGCATCTGTTTCCTGAATGGTTTCCAAACAAGATTTTGGTCAAACAGTTCTTTTTGTGACAGAAATGGCCAGTTACCTACCAAAAATCCATTCTTCCTTAGTAAAAGAAACCCAATTTTGGATGAGCACAGTGGTGCTCAGCTAAAACATTACATTTCCCAGCCTTCCCTGTAGTTATGTACGGCCACATGACCAATTCTGGCCACTGAGATAAGTGGAAGCATGTGGGACCTCTGTGAAATCTCCTTAGAAGGAAAAGGATGCATTCTTTCCCCAGCCCTGTTCCTCCTTATTGTGTGGAATACAGAGTTCCAGGAGCCATTCTGGACCATGAGGTGACCTTGAGCTGAGAATAGGAGCCAGTGAGAAGAACAGAGGTCAGAAGAAGCATCAATGCCCTTGAGGACAGTGTGACATACAGACAACCACACAAGAAACCAATCAAAACAACACAGTGTCAGGGGCGCCTGGGTGACTCAGCTGGTTGAGGGTCCAACTCTTGATTTCGTCTCAGGTCACGATCTCATGGTTTGTGGGTTCAAGCCCCGCAGCGGGCTTTGTGCTGACCACGCAGAGCCTGCTTGGGGTTCCCTCTCTGGCTACATTTACTACTTCTCTCTCAGTACCTCCCCAACCCTCTCTCAAAATAAACAAACTGCTTAAAACACACACACACGATATGGTGTCAAAATGACTATAAATGTCAAAGAAGTCTAAAGGAGGGAGAGCCCAGTGCAGGGCAAAAGCAGCCAATGAAAAAGCCTCAGGGAGGAGGCAGAACTTTGGGGGTACAGGCAAGACTTAATTAAGCAGGAAAGAGGGGCAATATCACCAAAAAACCAGCAGGGAGCTGGCAGTGAGAAGACAGCACAGGTGGAAGACACTGGCATGACTGCAGACAGGGACAGAGAATTCTCACTGGGAAGCAGCTGGAATCAAGTATGAATAAGGAGATTACAGCCAAATCTGGGAGGTCTTTCAGACTCAGAAAAAAAAAAAAAAAAAAACTATAAAAGTTTTTGATAAGTTCAATTACATTAAAATGGACTTCTGTGAAAATGGTAAAAAACTGACAATCGGGGAGACTTGAACACTAGCCAGAGATTTGGTGATATTATGAAACCACCGTTCATTTTTTTTTAATGTCTATTAATGTTACTGTTATGTTCTTAAAAGGACACTGTCTCTTAGAGACACCTGCTGAAATCTGTATAGACAAAATTATTTGATAAAGCCAGAGGTTTGTTCCAAAATTATCCAGTAGGGAAAGAAGTACAGAAATGAAGTACAATTGGCTATGATTTTGATAATCATCCAATCTGGGGGATAAATAAAAGGGGTTCATTATGTTATCTTCACTACTTTTTTGACAGTTTCCACAACAAAAGAGTAAAAAATAATAATGATTTGGCTGGTAGGATAAACAGAAAAGCAGGAAGCAGGAAGATGGGCACATGGACATTCACTGTGTTATTCTACTTCTGTATATATTTGAAAGTTTCCATAACCAAAAAGTGGTTGTTTTTTAACTTTTTTTTTTTGAAGTTTTATTTAAGTAATCTCTACACCCAATGTGGGCTCCAACTCATGACCCCAAGATCAAGAGTCACACGCTCTTCTGACTGAGCCAGTCAGGCACCCCCTTTTTTCCAAGTTTGGCTGTTTTTTGTTTGGTTTTGTTTTTTAAGATGACAATGGAGAAAAACGAAGAACTTATAAGAACTGGCATAAAAGCTACTTGCCACGAGGAAAATGTCTGCCCTAACTAGTAATTAAGGTAAAAATTAGAACCAAATAAGATACCATTTCACACCTACCAGATTGACAGGCATTATCAAGGACATGAAGTGACAAGAACTCCCACCCACACAGTACTGCCAGGGGTGAAACTAGTAAAGCTACTTCGGAAGGCAATGTTTAATAAAGCTGAGGTTGTATGAATACATCTCTATAAACTCCACTACTAAATACATCCTAAGAGAAATTCTCCACACGTGCAAAGGCAAATGTGGTCATTTGTCACATCTGCGTACTTGCTGCAAAACTGTATGTGATTTTAAAAATAATCTAAATGTCCAGCAAAAAGAAAATAAATTGTGGTATATTCAATCCATATAGTATGGTGTGGAGAGAAAATGAATGAACTGAACATACATGTTATCGATACAAATAAATCTCAAAAAAGATCTTGAGTGAAAAGAACAAGCAAGTTGCCGAAGACCATTTACGTTTTTACATCATTTACACAAAGATACACAATACGAAGCTCTATGTTAAGGAAGATACAAAGTAAAGAATAAACCATACATAGGAAAACTAAATACTACATTCAACATAGCGCCAAGGAGACTTCAAGCGAGAAATACATAAAAGACAAGTATGTCTCTACCATGTTTTAGTTCTGAAGCTCAAAGGTGAATACACACGTTTTTGTTTTACCCCAAAATTTTGTGTATCTGATGTGGTTTAGTAACATTAGTGAAATGATATTCATTCATTCAACACTAAATTACTACTAAAAATGCAGAAGGAGCAGGGACTTGTTACAGTGAACAGCAGAGAGCTATTATAGATACATGAGAACTCAAACAACATGATGAAAGTCGTTTTCTGAAAGCTAGTCTGCCTTTGGAATAAAAGACAACACATACCAAAGCTCTGAAAACACATGCCAAGTGCATAACCTCAAACAGGACTTTACTGCAGCACCACAGGCCTGGATTGGAGTCACTGACAGTAGAAACAGAAAGGAAACCCAAGAAACAAATAGTAAGATTGGGTGAAAATTCAATGTCAACAGTACAGGAAAATAGAAAAAAGAGAACACAGAATACCTTCTGTGAAATGATGTGCAAGGGCCCCTTCAGCAATGCCACCACACAGTTACTTGACTACAAGATATCTGAGCTTGGACACCAGAAACCGTCATAACTAGTAACAAAAGTAGGTAGCCAAGAGGGTCATGAAACAGAAGTGAAAGTATTCATCAGTTTTGACACCACGTACAATAATAGTCAAATGAAGTGAAAATGTCTTACTGACAGCTCCAAACGTGGAACTGGAATATGGGCCCAAGTCAGAGCTGGAGATGTGAATATTTCAATCAGCTACATAGAGAAAATTAACTGAAGCCACGGCTTGGATGCGCTGGCCAGGAGAGTAAGTGAAGAAGCGAGCAGAAAGACTTGGCTCTGAAGAATGCTCAGGCTGAGAAAAATGGCCGGAAGAAACTTGAGAGGTGGTCAGAGAAACAAATACATAAAATAACCTGGAGAGCTCAGCGTTAGGGAAGCACACAGAGAGGAAAACTTACAGAAAGGAGGGACTGGCAGGGCCATATGCTTCCGAAGGCTGAAGAGGCTACAGAATGAAGAAAAGGCCACTGTGCATAGCAGGAAGGGACCTGGGAACCTGCCAAAGAAACCTCGGTGCACAGACTCGGGTGGAAGCCAAACAACAAGCACTTGGACATGTATTAAAAGGACCCCAAATAAGAAAGGCTGGAATTAAACACGTGATTCAACATCAAAGATCAAAAGAAGGATAAAGTCTGGACTATACATGGAAAGGAAGGGACAAGAGTAGTTTGAGCTGATAATCCTCTAACACTGCAATATTATTTACCCTTATTTCAAGAGCCTAACAAATGAGGACAAAGAACTTCCAATAAAAACAACCTTTTAAAATGCCATTACCTTTTCGTTCAAAACTTTCTTCCCTAAGAATGCAGACCAGTGCCAAAAATTTAGTCACTTCCTTTAAATAAAGGACAGTTGTATTATTCAGCTTGATAATTGCCATAGATTCTTTGTCATAAGCACTTCCACTTCCATCTTCCTTTAACCTGTTTTAAAAGAAAATATTCATTACAGGTTTCCCAGTGAGGTGTTCTGTCACATTTAATTTCACAATGACGAGTCTTTCTACCCAGTTTCCCAAGTGTCTTTTGAGAAAAATTACTGGCTTAAATATGCTGGAACAGAGGTTCTCATTCAAGAAATACGGTTCTCAGACTAGGATGCAGTATTCCATGTGTTCACACCATCACCTTGTTTCCCTAGGATACATGGAGTTCAACAGGTTTCAAATCTTCGTCAGTCATAACTCATCTGCACTGACCGCATGCAAATAAAAAAGGCCCCAACATAAGAGGGCTGCCATCGGGGAAAAAGGAGGAAGCATAAAAACTAAAATGAATAGAGTCCGTCAAAGGCACCATGGAATCCTAATCCTCGCTTACAAAGCGAGCCTTCAGGTCTGAAACCTATTTTATTTTACTAGAATTGTCACAATTATAGGTAGTTATCCTTCAAAAGATGTAAATCAAGAGTCAAGCAGGAAGCAAATATAATAATAAAACACACCAAAGTGCGTGCATGGATTGTATGAAGAATGACAATGGAGATTTTCTCTTTTATAACATGCCTTATGATGTATAATGTATTTTACAATGTACTTTACACTGAAAAAAAAATTTTGCAACTAAATTTGATTTTTAAATTATAAAAAAAGGGGTTATGAAATTTTATTTTAAAGAAAAAGCAAATGTTCTATTTGTCCATTTTTAAAATTAGGAATGGGAACAAGAAACTTTCCTGAATAATATAATAAACAAAAATCACATTTTTACTATGGAAAAAAAAAAGAACAAAGGAGAGCCTGTAAGCGCAACAGTGGGAAAGAGAAATAGAAGACAGGTAAAGAACAGCTAAGAGAAATGCATTCTCCTCCTCAGAGGCAGCTAGAGAAAGACGCGGACAAATCAGGCTGAGAGACCAAGGTGAAGGGCAGGAACAGAGCAATGAAAAAAGAGTTCAGATCAGGTGGAGAGAGGAACAGATAAAGGACACAGGTACCAGAAAACAAAGGTAATGTCAGAGCGTCAGAAAGTGCCTTGAGAGTGCTGATGTTAATATGTGAGGGGGATCAGGGCTATTATAAGCAACAGAGGCTGTTGGCTTTTGAAATAACAGTAATTCTCCAGAGTTTTCACTCATCCTCTGGACTATACTATAAAGTCACACACTTTTTTAGACATTTATTTTGGAAACATAGATGTGTGGGTCAAATTTTTCTATTTGCGAGTCCTTCTGACATCCAAAATTCTGATTTCCTGTTTCTGAGCTCTATGAAAGATTAAGGATCCCTCATTCCCACAAAGCCTGAAGTTAAATTAGGAACCAGGACTTACTCTGTTATTCCAAATGTTTTTAATAAATAAATCTACTTTTTTGATCTAGCTAAGACCCTAAGGGAGAAGACACAGTGCAAAGCCCCCAAATAATGGCAGAAACTTTCAGTGATAATGAAGTCTGGCATTAGCACACCTTTTCAACTGCTCTTATCCATCCTCTCTGAAGGAGTAAGACATAGCAGTCCATCTACAGAGAAATCACGTTCCAAGTTGAAGAACTATGGTCAGAACAATTCCACTCCACACAGTACCTGCTAGAAGCCTCAGAAATTAATCCCTCTGACAAACTGAACAGGTAGTTTTCCATCTGTCTGAGATCTTGCAAAAATATGTATGTAACTTACCCATATATACAAGATACATCAATTACAACATCAATCATGTCACAGCAAAGTTCATAAGATTGCATATCCACAGGTGAACTGTCTGTTGCAATGTAGATTTTGCTGACAACATCGAAGAGAAAAGCTTTTTCAATACCTGAATTCTTGGAAAAACAAAATTGGGCAAGTGTCAGTTTTAAGAATCAAAATTTGTAATTTACCTAATATCGTGAATGACTAACACACAAGGACATTTTTAAATGTACAACCCCATACCAAAAAATCAAAAGGTATTTGGTTCAGAGACACTTCTGTTATCCAAGGAATAAAAGTGGAATTACTTCTCTGCTCTGATTTACTAACTTGATTGCACTAAATCTGTTTCCTCTTCCTCCTTTACTTAAATGGATCATTTGCTAAGATGCCACCAAAAAAATTAACAAAAAAAACCCTCCAAAAATCAAGCCATCCTACATTTTCAATAATCCTTTCTTGTTACAATAATCAATCTCTGATTTGAATGACCTTGCTACCAGAAAGGCTTTCCGTGGCAATTAGCAAAACATAAAAGAATTAATATTATGTCAACATCTAACATACCCCAAAGCCCAAAAGAACTGGGGATCACTACATGCTGAGTCCTTCAAAGTAATGTCTGGGAAATATAAAGGTTGAATGTTAAGTTTATTGAAGGAATATCCTGTTTTATTAAGCTGAATCCTCAAAATAAGAAAGGTGAAATATGATACTAAGATTACAGTTAGCAAGGAAAGGAAAAGATCAATTTTTCAATGTGACCTCCAATAAAGCAGAGATTAAGCAGGCGTCAAATTCCCAAAACCCAGTCTTTTCCAGTTACTACTCCTCACGCAGGAAACAGATATTATGATTTTTTTCATGAAGATTTTTTATTAATTAAGAAATCATGAAGAAATCTTTCATTAGTCCATTTTAAGACCAAAAGGGTGAGCACTAAAGTGCTCAGAAAAAAACTCAAGCCATTTTTTTAATGTTCTTATGATTTATTTTACATGTTAAGTGTGTCATTAGTCTTTCGGCCTGATTCAGACTAATTCAAGCCAGTTTTTGGAGACGTTGATAACACAAATATATTCAAGAAAATGGAATCAGAGACTGTAGTGAATTAGCTCACTTACTGATATAAAGATATTTAATAGGTTTTCCAAAGTCGGCAGTTGTGGGATGAGTTTCTGCACCACCTTACTAAAGGCTTCAAATATTGAATGGTCATAGATACTAGTCAAATAAAAGCTGAAAAACACAACACAGTTTGATTATTTTGGAAAATAAAGTGACAATTATCATAAAATATAAAATTTTAAGTTTCTTATCATTTCATTTCAGGAAGTTGACACAAAGCCTTTTTACACAAATGCAGCTTTCCCACTTGGCTTGTAACCATCCATCCCGTTACTGCATTTACACAGAGGGCAATTCCCTAGTACCCAGAAAAGCATTTCCAGATGCAGAAACCTGAATATTCACCTAATTCTTTGCAACCTGATCCAAACAGCTTGATTTCTTAAGCTAAATTAACTGACAAAAACCAAGATAAAAACCAAAAGAGATGACAGAGAAGGGTGACATTTATTAAATAAGAATGTAATTCATGTCTCTACTAAAATGTCATCTCCTCAGAAAGCTCTTTCCTGACCCCCCCCCCCACACCTAAAACAGCACCCCTTTCACCTAATTTAATTTTCTTCATAGCACTGTTAAGTACCTAAAATTACACTATACACTTATTTGTAAGTACTTTTGAGCTGTCTTATTCATCAGGATGCGGGCTTCATGAGGACAGAGATTTGACAGTCTTGCTCATAGCTATAACCCCAATGCCCTCAACAGTGCTCATAAATATTTGTTCAATACACAAATGAACACAATTGATGCTTAGAATTTATATAAATAACATATTTAGAAAGATAGGAGCTAGGGCCCTATTGAGAATGGAACAGGAATCTGGTAGCCTAAAAGGACATACAGCGGAGAAGTAATATCTATAGATTTAACAAAACATGTGAGAAAGAGACACTTTTTAACATTTTAAACAATACAATTTCACCGGCTTTTTAGGTCAGGAAGTATACTTTTCATTACACAGTTGTTCTATTTACTTACAAGCTTATATTAAAGTCAGAAACACAGAACTGTGGATTTCACACTTTACGGGTAACTTAAAAATACTTTCAAGGAGCTGACCTAGGACCCTAACCCTACGCAAGATGGGGCTTGCCTTTAGATGTTAGAGCAATGAAAGAGAGAGCCCAAGATGAGCCCCTAAAGGCACTAAGGACAAAAGAGTATTTTATTGTTTCCTGTAGGCAAGAAGGTTAGCAATATGAGAAGATCCTGCAAGGTCTGTGACACCTGGAGGTAGATGGGGACATGGAGAACCTGAGACACACAGGGCATTTAGTAAGCTGAGTTTCTAGTAACTGGAAATCAAATGAAGCCTAATCTGCAGGTATGCTAGTAATTAACAAAAGCTAGATGCAAAATTCTACAGAGGTTAACAAGGCCTAAGGCCCTATAAGGAACTAGAGAAAGGGATGGCAGGTACCACTGGGGTGGGCTGCCCCAGAAAGGGACACAGAAGTAGTGTAACGATTAGAATTCCCATGGGCACTAGGGAACACAGGACAATCACGGCCTAAAATCCACTGTTAATAGTAGATTCCCAACAAGTAAGATTGAGGAATTTAATAGGGATGCATTTTCATTTTCTCTTACAAATGTTGAATATTTTTTTAATTGTGACTTACTAATAAATATTTTAAAATTTTAATCCAGGCAAAGTATAGACCAATGAGGTTTTTTTCTACAGGACCTCCTAGAAAAATAACTGAAAGACCTTGGAGCCTGAGACCCTAGGGAATATTAGGGATAGGGATGGGGACTGGCTTGAGCCTATAAGGAAGTCACTGTAACAGACCAGGGATAAGGAAATAGCTACACGTGTGTCTCCCCGCTTCCTCTTTAAGCTTTTACATCATCAAGAGAACATTTTCTTGGGTACTTTTGATCACTCGTATCTACCTATGCCACCAAAAAATTACAAAATATAGAATATTCCTCATATACTTTCAGAAGACAAGCACATAAACCATCAATCCTATCTAGTAGGTGTTTTTTTAAGTAATAATTTTTAATTACATTTAACTATGAATCAGTTCTTTAAACTTAACAGGAGCCCTAAACAGATTTATAGACTAAACTCACCTAACCCAAGCTTTAGAGATTCATAAAAGCATAAACTGGTTTTAAAAACATACAAAAGATACATTAGAGTCCAGATTTGAAACCATATCCTCTTTAAAAGACCCTTCCTACTGGGGGGGGGGGA